GAGCAGAGATGGGGAGCAGCCTCGGAAAGGAAAGCAAGCTCGTACTGCCTATCCTCTAGGACGTCACTGCCAAGGGCAGGAGCACCCCCGACGGACGGAGGACAGGCAGGGTCAGAGACCAGAGCGGTAGCGTAGTCAAGGCGGCGGGTAGAGGCGAAGTCAGCGACAGCAGCGACAAGAGCGTCAAGGCGCGAGACAGGAATAGCAGGGTCGGTAACAAGAGAGGCAAGGACCTGAGGGACAAGGGGACGAGCGGCACGCAGGTAGTCAGAGAACGGAGGAGGTGCAACAGCAAGGGACGAGGGAGGAGGGGACAGGAGGAGGGGAGGACGAGACGAGTGGGAACGGAGCAACATAGGGTGGGAGCGCAGGACAGGAGAGACGGGACGAGCACGGGAGGGACGGCGAGACCAAACGTGGGACGGAGGTGTAGGGTCAGGGGACAGCGGAGGGGACACAGGAGGGAAACGAGGAGGGAGACGGGCCGGAGACGAGTCTGGCGGCGGGAGCACAGGACCGTAGACAGGAAGGTCAGCAGGCGGTGGGGGAGACACCGGCGAGCGGTCCGGGGAGGGAAGGCCGAGCAGGCGGAGAGCGGAGACCGGCGGCGACGACCGTCGGCAGAACCCTCAATAGCAGCACCCCCAGAACCAACACCCCCAAAGCAAGAACCCCCTCCAACTCCAGCGGCACCCCTGGGAGCCGCAGGACGAACACCCTGCTCAACGCCAGCACCCCCAGAGGCCAACGGCGGCAGCGGCGGTGGCGGCGAAGGCGGCTGCGGCAGTGACGGTGACTGCGACGGCGGCGGCGGCGGCGGCGACGGCGACTGCGGCAGGGAAGGCGGAGACACCGGGGAAGGGGACGCGGCAGGGACAGGCCGGGGGGACCACCAGAGTCAGCAGACTCCTCGACGGGGACAACCGACGGGAGGGGAGTGACGTGAGAGACACCAGACGGGGCAGGACGAGGCGGGAGAGGAGCAGGGGCTACATTGGGAGAGGGAGCCAGGAACAGGGGCGGGGCAACCGGGAGACCTCTGTGATGGAAGCGGCGGTAGAAGGAGACAGACTCGTCAAAGGTGACGTCACGAGAGTGGAGGAAGCGGTGAGACGGCGGGTGGTAGAAAAGCCAGTCAGACGAGCCCAGGGGGAAATCGAGGAAGACAGAGGGGACAGTGCGGGCAGTGAGCTTGTCCATGCCAGAGGCACGAACGTGAGCAAGGCAGCCCCAGACGTGGAACGCAGACGCGTCACCGGGGGACCCGGTCCAAAGGAGGGTCGGCGAAACCCGCGGCCGCTGGGAGCGGGGCCACAAGTTAAGCTGGTGAGCAGCGTAGCGAATAGCGAACGGCCACAGAAAATGGGGGGCATCGGCATGAATCATGGAGGTACGGGCGACCTCCATGACCAAGACAATGCGGCGCTCAGCAACCCCATTCTGCTGTGGCGAGTCCGGCAAGGTGTACGACTAGGTGATGCCCTCCGCACGACAGAACTGTCCAAGCCGACCAGAGGCGAACTCGCCGCCACGGTCAGAGTGGAGACACAACACGGGAAGACCGCGGTGGAGACGCGCAGCCACAACCCACGGGAGAAGAACGTCGGGCACGTTGGCCTTCCGCTCCAGGGGAAACACCGTGGTGTAGCGCGTGTAGTCGTCAACGAGCACAAGGAAGTAACGCTCACCGCGCGGTCCGGGGACGGGGGCAGGGCCCCAAACGTCCAGGTGCAGGGTCTGAAGGGGGGAAGTAGCAGGGCGCAGCGAGGAGGAGTGAGGAGCACGGCGGAGCCGACCCTCGACGCAAGGCGTGCACGGTGGCGCAGTCGAGGGAGGAAGGGCAGGGAGCGACGCGGGGAGACCTAAGACAAGACCGTGCTGGGACATGTGACGCAGACGCGGGAGAGCAGGGTGACCTAAGCGGTGGTGCCAGAGAAGGGACGGGTGAGTGAGGGACCGACACGAGCAAGCTGCAGCGAACTGGGAGGACGCACCAACCGGGGGGGAAGCGGTGTCTAGGGTAAACAGACCGGACACCGGGTCCCGGGGGAACGTCGCAAAGGGGGAACCTAAGACAGCCTCAGAACAGACAGCGAACCGCTCGTGCCCGGGGAACGTGGTGGTGACGCCGAGGTCCTGGAGACAGCCGACACCAACCAGGTTCCTCGAGATCGAGGGAACGTGGAGGCCTGTAAGGGAGCCCGAGGGAACTGATGGACAGGGAAGGGATGTAGAACTGCGAGCGATGACAGGACCCGCAGTGGGGTCAGCGAGAGAGACAACAGCAGGCGCAGCAAGCGGCGTGAGCGTGGAACGGTCGCGGAAGAAGCAGGCAGAAGCACCTGAGTCGAGAGTGAAGGACAACGAAGCAGTGGCGGAGGCCGGGGACGGAGCCGGTGCAGCGACTAGACTAGGCAAGCTAGGCAGTCCTACGCTTGACGCAAAAGGGGAGGCTAAGCTACACAATGGTGCAACACCTAAACTAGAGTACACAGGGTAATAAGATCCAGCAACACTAGAAACGTCATAATACAAAGCATGCAAAGCAGCACCTATCTGATCCATGTCTAACTCAAAGATCGGCACGCATTGGCGGAGCAGGCTGTGCCAGTCAGGGAGGTCGGGGGCCGGGCCAAAGCGACGACGAAAGAGATCGTCGAGGCGGCGGAAACAGCGGGCGGTCGGGTGCGGGCGGCGGCACAGAGTGCCGCGAAGAGGCCCGGTCTGAAGCTGGTACTGGCAGGTGACAGCACCGGAGCCGCCGGTAGACGCCAAGCTGCGCTGGCCGCCACCACGGCCACTGCCTCCGGAGGTGCCAGGCCAGCCAGGCGGGAGACGGGCCCACGGCTGCGGCGACTGCTGCTGGGACGGCGGCTGCTGCTGGGGTGGCGGCTGCGGCTGGGGCTGCTCCTGCTGCAGCTGGGGCTGCTGCTCCTGCCCACCAGTGGTAGTCCCCGCAGGCGGACTACCGTCACCACCACCACCACCACCACCTGCGCCACCACCCCTACCTCCCTGGCGACCACGGCCACCGCGGCGCGAGCGCTGCTGCGGGTGGACCGCAGCAGCCGTCTCGGTGAGAGGGGTCGCCGTGGCGACCGCAGCCGAAACGTCAGTGAACGTGCACTAGGAGGGGGCACAGCCGTGAAAGATAGAGACTGCCGGCGCACCGCTCGACTGAGCGATAGTGCGCTGACGAGTCTCGATCTCGATGAGGGTGTCGACAAAGGCGGTGAGGGTGAGGTCACCCGGGTGCTGGCTAAGGAAGTGATCGCGAGCACCAGCGAGGCGGTCTGGCAGGCGCATGGCGATAAAATAGAGCGTCATGCAGAAAGGGGGGGGGAGCGCAGTAAGCTGGGCAGCAGTACTGGCAGTACGATAGCGGGTCTCTAGGGCACGCAGGTGAGTGGCAAAGTCTGCGACGGTAGGGAAGGCTGCAAGGTCTAGGAACAGCATCGGGAAGAGCAAGCGGCCAGCAGATGCAGACGCGGGTGTGGAATAGCGAGCAATAACGGCGTCTAAGTAAGCTTTGGCCGTCTCAACAGTAGCAAAACGCGAGCGCTCAGACACAGGGAGGGTGTGACTAATAGCAACCTGAGCTACTGCATCGCAGGAGTCCCAGACCGCACAGGCAAGCGCAACAGTAGAGAAGGCTTCACGATCATCAGAGGAGGGATCAGCAGGGAGGGGAGCAGGGGCAGGGGGGCGGGGGAGCAAGCCATCGACATGGACAACCAAAGAGTGGCCATCCTGGCACTGACCTGTAAGGTGGCGGCGGAGATCGGAGAGCCAGGCGGCGAAGTCAACCGCATGGCCCTCGGCGTCCAGTCGGAGCACAAAGTCAGCCATCGTGCAGGGTCAGCGGCACAGCTCCACAGGAACACCGCGACGCAGGGACACGGCGGCAGCACTCTCCAGCACGGCGGCCGCGAGGCGCCCCAGCACTGGCGAGCAGAGTAGACGGAGCCCGAGGTGGCACGGCATAACGAGCAGGCACGAAGATGGGCCGGGCGGGCAGTAGGAGAGGCCAGGCAGACGCGGCGGAGCCAGGCGGGCGCGGAGGGGCCAGGCAGGCGCGGCGGGGCCAGGCAGGCGCGGCGGGGCCAGGCAGGCGCGGAAGGGCCAGGCAGGCGCGGCGGGGCCAGGCAGGCGCGGCGGGGCCAGGCAGGCGCGGAGGGGTCAGGCAGGCGCGGAGGGGCCAGGCAGGCACGACAGGGCCAGGCAGGCGCGGCGGGGCCAGGCAGGCGCGGCGGGGCCAGGGAGGCGCGGCGGGGCCAGGCAGGCGCGGCGGGGCCAGGCAGGGCGCGACTGGGCCTGGCGGGCGCGACGGGGCCAGGCAGGGCGCGACGGGGCCCAGGAGGGGCGCGACAGGGCTAGGAGGCGCAACGGGGCCCAGGAGGGGCGCTAGGAGGCGCGACGGGGCCCAGGAGGGGCGCGATGAGGCTAGGAGGCGCGACGGGGCTAGGAGGCACAACGGGGCCCAAGAGGGGCGCAACGGGGCTAGGAGGCGAGACGGGGCCCAGGAGGGGCGTGACTGGGCCCAGGAGGGGTGCGACGGGGCTAGGAGGCGCAACGGGGCCCAAGAGGTGCGCGACAGGGCTAAGAGGCGCGACGGGGCTCAGGAGGGGCGCGACGGGGCTAGGAAGCGCGACGGGGCTAGGAAGCGCGACGGGGCCCAGGAGGGGCGTGACGGGGCTAGGAGGCGCGACGGGACCCAGGAGGGGCGCGACGGGGCCCAGGAGGGGCGCGACGGGGCTAGGAGGCGCGACGGGGCCCAGGAGGGGCGCGATCGAGCTAGGAGGCGCAACGGGGCCCAGGAGGGGCGCGACGGGGCCAGGAGGCGCGACGTGGTCCAGGAGGGGCGCGACGGGGCCTAGTTAGGGTACGGGTGGAAGCGGTAGGTGGGGGATGCTAACCTACGCGTGATACCATGTTAAAGTAAGAACTGAATGGTTGACTAGAAGTTGAAACCTAGAACAAATACTAGTCGGTTGTACTCACTAGAAGCATACCTCAGTCTAGCCTATAACTTCTACATAGCTAATATGTATAAGTTGATACAACTTGCCTAGTGTAGTGAGGCCTGTTTTTCCTGCGTCGAATTGGGGACCGACCCTGATACGTGTAGTAGCGGTTATCGAGCCTCAACCCCCCCACCCGTAATTTCCATGATTTCCCCCTCCATTTACCCCTGTCAGTCACACACGCCAACTTGACTGTGACCAACCAAGACTGATCAGGAACCTGTGACGAATTATGACATGTATTCGAAGAGCGTGTTTTCTGTAGTTGACCCTATTATTTCAGCGCAATTTTTTTACAGCACCCTGATTGATCAGCGTAAATTTTTTGGCGAGGCCTGAAAAAACAGGGAGCTAAGGAAGGGGGGCCCTGAGCGATCAGCGTGCCCCAAAACGAATTTGAGGCCCTGATTGGAACACGCTCTGAGGCTGTATAGCGACCAGAAAGTATCAACAGCCCACCCTGACAGTTCCACGAGTGGGAGTGAAGAGAAAGGGGAGGGAGGAGGAGATAGAGCACAGGAGGCGGAGGAGAGGGAGCAGAGAAGTGCGGAGACAACCCAGCTCACCACTAGGTGCTCTGAGGTGCGGAGAGCGAGCAGGGAAGTGCTGTCAACACCAGGTGCTTGTAGTGAGAGAGAGGGCGGGAGAAGGGATGGGCGGAGGAGGGAGAAGGGACGGGCGGAGGAGGAGAGAGAAGGGATGGGCGGAGCAGGAGGGAGAAGGCACGGGCGGAGGAGGAGAGAGAAGGCATGGGCGGAGCAGGAGGGAGAAGGGACGGGCGGAGGAGGAGAGAGAAGGGATGGGCGGAGCAGGAGGGAGAAGGGACGGGCGGAGGAGGGAAACCTGCTCTAACTGCTATCAGCACCAGGTGCTCGCAGTGCTTGCTCTAGCAAGGACCGAAAATTATCAACAGCCCATCCCGAGGGCTCCATGAGAGAGAGGGAGGGAGAAGGGAAGGGCGGAGGAGAGGGAGACGAGCCAGGCAGAAATGCTGCAGCACCTGGGAAAGCACCTGGCCCAGCTCCAGGAGGAGCAGCAGAATCACCTGACCAGACACCTGGCAGGGAAATTCTCTCCCCAACACCCAGGTGCGCAGCAGCAGCAGCAGCAGCAGCAGAAGCAGGCGCACCAGGTGCTTCCGTGGTTGAGGGGTGCATGGGAACCGAAGCAGCAAACCCCCCAGGAGCAGAGGGGTCAGGGGGAGAGGAGGGGGTGGGGATGGCCGTGGCAAAGTCGTACAGAGAGGCCAGCGCACTGAGGGAATCTGGGCGGCCAGGGAACGGAGGCAGGGATTGGCTGTAGGCTGGAAAGAGGGGGGACGCAGCACCGACAGCAGCACCTGCAGCCGCCGCTGCTGCTGCAGATGTGAGCTGCGGACTGAAGTAGCTCTGACTTGCGTCAGCAGCAGTGCCATAAAGGTGAAGGTTCGAGCTCATTCCAAGGGGGCTGGGATTGAGCCCAAGGGAGCTGTGCACACTGGTGCTGCCGAAAGTCCTCCCCCCTTCGCTGCTGGCGAAACCAGAGTCCAGGCTGCCAGTGTCGCCCTCGTTACTGTCACTGCCTCCACCGCTACTATTACCTTCATCACTATCACCCTCGTCGTCGCTCCATGCGTCCTCTGGAACTACTGTCACCTGCCCCTCCTGCACCCCCTGCTGCTGCTGCTGCTGCTGCCGGTCCTGCTGCTGTTGATGTGCACTCTGGCGTGTTCCTCCACCTGCTCCTGATGTCAACCCCGCTGCTGCCGCTGCTGCTTTTGCCGATGCTCCTCCCTCTGCTACTCCTTCGACTGCTCCTCCTGCTATTCCTGCTCTTCCTGCTCCTCCTGCGCCTCCTGCTCCTCCTGCGCCTCCTGCTCTTCCTGCTATTCCTGCTGTTCCTGTTGTTGCTGCGACGGCTGCTGCTGCGCCGGCTGCTGCTGGAGAGGCGAAGGCGCCACAAGTTGCTCGTTCCTCACCTCGCTGTTTCCTCCCCCCTCCTCTCCTCTCCTCCTCCCTCTTCCCCTCCTCCCGAATCTCCTCCAACGCATCAAACCCTAGATGAAGCGCCACCTGATAATTCACCTGAACCCGTTCTTCAAAGCCCAACCGCCCTCCTCTTCCCCCTTCCTGACCATCCATCTGCTTACCGCCTTCAAAAGCGGATGATGTCCCCACTAAAGACATCCCCACGCTCCCGCTAAGGTCGCCTCGCGCCTGACTCGCGCGCGCCTGCGCTGTGCCGCGATTTGTTTTGCCAAGGGTTCCGCTCGACCCACCGACCTTTGCTGACGCTCCCGCTTGTCGTCCTTCGCGCTGCTGCTGCTGCTGCAGGTGTGGGCTATCAGCGCGAGCGGAGGAGTGCCTTAGACCCTGCTGCCGCTGCGAGCTGTCCGAGATGGTCTGCTCGTGGGTGGGGGCACACGGAAGTGGGTATCAGGGGAACCGGCATTAGAAATGACCTACAGTCATTGGCCATAAATATGCGGTTATTAACAACCCTTGAGCAGTGACCGACGACCATGGACAACCCTTGGTCAGTGACTACCGTGGATGAAATCTCTACCCAGAACGGGTCCATAATGTAACGAGAACGATGATCAAATTAACTAGTCCCGGCTCGGCTCGTGCTGAACTCACGTGAGTGGCGCCGCGAGTCACGGGAGCGCACTGCAGCCTCGCCTCAGCCACGCGAAGCGTTGTGTCGACGCGAGCCGCATCGATCAGCAATCCGTCGATCCGGCCGTCGATCTCGGTGATCCGACTCGCGAGCTCGCTGGAGAACCGTTGTAGCCACGTCAGCAGCTGCTGCTCGTACTGCAGCAACGCGACGGGCTCAGAAGATGACATGGCTTCAGAGGAAGACGTGTCGTATGACGTGGCAGTGGTACTCTCGACGGCACCAGCAGACCAGTTTCTAGTCGATGATGACGTGGCGTTCGTTTGACGTCGATCGGATTCGAGATCCGAAGATTTAAGTGGCGAACGTTCGCGAATTTCGTCCATTGTTGCGACAGATGGCCTCACGATAAGATAAGGAGACTATTCGCGAGGGACAAGAGTGCCAATAGCGTTGGAATTGTTGCCACTTGGAAGTGTGTTAGTGATGGCTCGAAGTCGAAACGTGTGAAGCACCAACCGCACGCACGTGAATTCTCTAAAGAATCCGGGAAAAACGCATCAGGGACGTCTCGTCGCGATAATGATATGCGACTAGCCACTATTACTTCTTCACCCGCAACGATCGGAGACGCAATGATCGGGGATCCTACTATTCCGCCACGCATTCAGATCACAGCACAGTTCCAGCAGGTCTGAGCAACCACCAAGAGCTACTGCCGCTCCCTGGTTTGAGATTCCAAATTGCTTTCGTACGCGTTACTGGGTCCCGAAGAGACAGTACCTCCTCCGAAGTTCCGTGCAATATATGCGTAACGCAAACTCTAACGACCACTTACATAGATTCTCCCCCTCACTAAGTATTCTCCGGTTGTTTGATCCACTAACCTATACAGGGTTTCAACAGCACTACTTACCAGTACTTCCTTTGTATCTCTGACGCTTCTGTAGCTGCATGGATGCTCAATCCCAACCACTGGGAACTTCTAAGGCTGGCTAAATGGACCGACCGCCAAAACCAAACATAAAAGCAGCCTTTCAAATACCCATGAAATTACAGCAGGTGATGGTGGTCACGCTTGTTACAGGTACGGGAATTCTTTTTCCATCTAAGATCGGGGCTTCTCCTTCTTCTCCTTGAAGAGAGCCAGCAGCGACACACCAGACACCTTCACCACTTTGAACCGCACTCCGGGAATATCTCCCACGGCGTGCCCCTTACGACCGAACCCAGCAATCAGCACCTCATCCTGTTGGAGAGGGAAGGAGGATGACAGGAGGGATGAAAGGAGGGATGAAAGGAGGGATGCTAGGAGTGAGAGGAGAGAAAAGATGAAGCCAGGGCGAGTGTAGTGTATGTATCGGAGCAAGGATTTGCACTCCAGGAATATCTTCCACAGCGTGCCCCAGACGCTCGAACCCAGCAATCAGCACCTCATCCTGAAGGCGAGAAACGAAAGGGCTATTCAAACAACAAGGGATGGGTGGGGAAGGGGGGGAGTAAGAAGGAAGGAGTTGGCGAGACCAGTATGCAGATTAGGAGGATGAGTGGTGTGAGCGTGCTTGAGGTAAAAAAACGAGGAAGACGTGTAGTGGGTGGTGATTGGGGGGGGGGAGGGGGGGGGGCATGAAAGAGCGGGCACGCTACACGCTTGCATTGGCTGCAGCGATACATTCCAGCCAATACATCACAACGTGTACATTCCAGCGGCGTGTTGCTGCTGGCATCACAACTGGCTGCCGCCACACACGCGCAATAACGACTCCCTGCTTTCCATCGATTCCACTAACCGACTAACCCTAATCCGACCCCCCTCCCCCCCTCCCCCTTCCCGCTCCCCGCCCTGCACTCACGTTCTCCTCGATGAAGTTGAGGCAACCGTCGTTGGGCACGAAGGCGGCGATCTTCTTGCCGTTCTTAATGAGCTGCACTCGCGCGCACTTACGGATAGCGGAGTTGGGCTGCTTGGCCTCAATACCACTGAGAAGAGCGGACATGTAAACAGGGGAAGCGGGAGGGGGGAATGACAGCTGAGTTGGTCTTCTCGCCGTTCTTGATGAGCTGCACTCGCGCGCACTTACATATAGCGGAGTTGGGCTTCCTAATGTTATTGTCGCGGTTTAATAAAAGAAGGGGACGTGGGAGGGGGAGAGAAAGTTTGTAGCAGACGACGTGGCGCCGAGAAACTGGCTCAAGGATGGGACTGTGCTGTCTCGAGCAGCATACATCCCGAGCTCGATGGCCTTGGCGTGCTCGTGAGTCGACTAAAAAAAGCAAGCTTGGCGTGCGACGAAGAGAGGCTAAGGGAGTTGGTAAGGAGTAGGAGGAGCGTTTACATCTTCTCGAGCACGATGCCCTTGGCGTGTGAGGAGCCCATGAAGGGCTTCTTCCACTCGTTGCCCTGGTGGCTCTTCTTGTACTGCTTGTCCGCCCACAGCTGGTTGCGCCGGTGGTTGCGCAGCTTGCGCCCGGCTCCCATTCCGCGCGTCTTACTGCGCACAGAGAGATTTCGTGGAGCGGGAAACCGAGCATATGGGACGTGGAACATAGTTAACAGGACGCGGAATTCCCTCGAAGGGAGTTAATGAGGAAACGAAAAAGAACGCTGGCGAATCCTCATTCCGCATCCATGGTATGGTTGCGCGGGTGAGTGCGCAGCTTGCGCCCCGCTCCCATTCCGCGCGTCATACTGCGCACACGGGGAGCGTGCGTGAGATGGGGAGCACGTTAGGAGAGTAGGCCACACGTAATGTATACCAGGGCGCATCATGTATCACGCCGTAATGCAACGCAGCCCTCGTTACAGGAGCGACCCTCTCTGATGCAGCTGGGGAAAACGCTAACTTCGCTGCGGGGGCGCTTAGTGACTTGATAATAACGGCGTTGCAGCGTGCGGGCGACTGACTCTAAAGTGCAAGACGCGGGATCCAAAAACTCCGCCCGATTGGCTGGTCCTTCGACGTAAATTTCCGACCTGATCGGGGCTCAAACTTAAAGTGCCTCAAAAGTAGTCAAAGTATCGTATCACACGTGGAAAGGCAGGATGTGGCTGTAGGAAACCAGCTCGATTGACTGGTCCTTTGAAGTCCTTTTGAGTCGACTCAAAAGTCAGCTCGATTGACTGGTCCTTGGAAGTCCTGCGCCGACGTGATCGGGACTGAAACTAACGGAGTCGCATGTGAACATAGAACTTATAGGACCACGAGAATGCACTCGTATCACCCATGGCACCTGTACCGGCCAAATGCTCCAGCACCAATCGAATCGACGACATACCCATGGCACCTGCACCGATTGTCCAAAACCCTAGACCTGACATCTCGCTACGGGGCCCACGCTGGTAGCTGTGACCGGACGACACCTCCAGGAAATCAGTAAATTAGTGGGAAAAAAAGCACTCACCCCATGGTGGCGACTGGATGCGGTACGACGAGGGTAAGGTGAGGAGACGAGGCGGGAAACCACCTTGCTAGGCTATGGGTACGTAGAGAGAGAGAAGGTAGGAGAAAGGAAGGTCTTCCGACTGAGGTGCTGCTGAAGAGGAGGAAGAGGCGAACAGGGGGGGAGCCTTGGGGCCTCGCCTTGGACGACTCAGGCTTTCCCGCCTTGCGTTTGTACCGAGGATTATGTAAACGAGTCACGTCATGTAAAAAGAAGTTATGAGCAAGAACGATGTTGCATGTTTTATGGACGTGCAAATTCTGCACGTTTCAACATTTATATAAAACTCTGTAATTAATTTAATAAATATCCCTATCTCGGTTTCCCATCACATGTTTTATTTTATCACCATCAGATGAAATCTTAAGGTTATTTATATGCCTATTTATTTTTAGTGGGCTTATATTATTCAATTTAATTTTTATAATACAATGCTATCTACAGCTCATGGTATCTCCACATTTTAAGCTTCCATATGACCAGAAGAGAGTGTTCATTTGGAACTTTGAACTACACCCTTGAGGTGTTTGTTCTAATATAACACTATTGAGCTCCACGTTCTAGGCCTGTTGAGAGCCGAAATAGGCATCGCAGGAGAGACTTTCTTGGCTTCACCTGATTGGTCAGCTTTCATTGCAAAGAAAGCATCCTCCTCTCTCGTGAAGGAGGTTGCCGTGCCCACTGCCCAGCCAGCGTGGAAAGAGTTTTGGCTCGCGTCACAAAAATTGTCAGGAGAGCTCAGCGTGATCGAAGCCGTCAATGGAACTTCAGGGGATGGGAGATCGACGGCCTTCCAGCTGCTTTAGCCTGGATATTCTCCAACCTCCAACCTCCCACCTCCACCCATTCATCACCATACAAATCTCTCGAAATTTTTCTATACTCCTCACTCTCTGCTTCATTCATCGGAGGCATTTTCACCACCACCACTCCGAGCAGCTTCAACAGCAGGCGTCATCAGCAGCAGCACAACGCTGAGCGTCGTGCAGTCACATTTGACCCTTGATCTCTGTTTTTGCAGCAGCCAGCATAATACAAGATGGCTGACGAGGAGCTTCGTTGCTTTGTTGGTGGCCTCTCGTGGGGCACGGATGATCGCGCTCTTTCGGATGCTTTCCACGACTACGGAGCTGTTGACGCTAAGGTTCGATGATTGTGGATTTTGGAACCTCATGGGGTACCTGCTTGACCGCTTCCGGCCTCGCCGATTTGATTCTTGGATCTGGATCTCCTGCTGGAAATTGATTGACGGGGTTTAAGGCCGCTTGATTGGCGATTTTCTGACGAGGCATGCATGGCGGGGTTCCGTGTTCTGATGAGGGAGCTTGATTGACCGTGCCGGGTTACCGGGTTCGTTATGTTACGGAAACTTTTCACGACCTCGTTCCGATGGAAACCGTCCTGTTCAGGTTGTGAATGATCGAGAAACCGGCCGCTCCCGAGGGTTTGGATTTGTGACTTTCAAGGACAAGGCCGGCATGGACGATGCCATCAAGGCCATGAACGGCACGGAACTTGACGGCCGGACTATCACCGTCAACGTCGCCCAACCTCGTGGAAGTGGCGGCGGAGGCCGCGGCGGCGGCGGGTACGGCGGCGGTGGCGGAGGTGGATACGGCGGTGATCGCGGCGGCGGCGGCGGATACGGCGGCTCCAGGGACCGTGGTGGTGGCGGCGGCGGCGGCGGTGGTGGCTGCTACAAGTGCGGCGAAGACGGACATTTCGCCCGCGAGTGCCCTAGCGGAGGAGGCGGCGGCTATGGCGGCGGTGGAGGAGGCGGGTACGGTGGTGGCGGTGGGGGAGGAGGCCGGTATGGGTCTGACCGTGGTGGTGGTGGTGGCAGGCCGTCAAGGTCTGGTCCCTATGACCGATCTGGTGGTGGTGACCGCAAGGACAGATATGATGACCGTTACTAAGTAACACTCCTTATGCTCAAGGCTTCGCAACGTTTTCTGCTGGTTTCTTTCTATGCTTCTAGGCGGGAAGCTGATTAATGTTCCTGTTTTGGAAGAAACGAAGATTTTCGTCCGTAGCACTTTATAGATGGTGTCCAGTTGTGCTTATACAGTTCCTGGCGCAATGTGCATATGTTATGAGGTGCTGCTGCTTTCCATGTAGCTACGATTTCCTGTAAAGCGGACTTGAGTTGACGTTGAAAACTAACAGTATTATTCCTAAATTCTGCATGGTTGGAGTAAACCACAAAAGGTAACGTCTGGAGTGTACTTCAACATGGTGCTCGTGGAATGCTTGGAAGATGTACCGTTTTAGCTTGATATTCCGTCCAGGCCTCGAATTCGTTACAAGTGTACCTGTAGCAGTTTAGGGAAACACACCGTGGATAGAGCTTTCCCTAACAGTTTTTCTCTCTGCTCCCGTACCAGTTTTTGAGAAACTCCTTTCTGATGATGCATACCCGATAATAGCCACGTCGATCATCCAATCCCATCCAGCACCCCACCTCACCCCTTCCTCTCTTCCCCTCTAACCTGCTCGCAAACGAGCCAACCGAGACAAACCGAGAACAACGACTCTCCCCCACTCACCAGTCCCCAACTCTTCTGCTTCTAAGTCCCAGAGCGAGCGACAGCAGCGCAACTGAGCAAGTTACGCCCCCCTTTGTCAGGCACAGCGCGTTTGCAGCAGTCCGCTGCGTCCTTTCGCGTCCCTCGGCCCGGCTCCACCATCCGTTGTGCCCTTCTACGCGCGTCGCGGATTCCGTTCCGACCGTCACAGATTTCAGCGGAGTCCGTCGTTGGCCCAGCTGTGGATTTGGTTGTTGAAATTCGCGTTATTTCCACGCTATTCTAACGCGCAGCGGTTCCTCACCAGCAATGTCGGACTTGACAGCCGCAGCGGCAGCGCGAGTGGTGGCGGCAGAGGCGGCGGGAATCACGCTGTCGGCTGAAGTGAGGTCTGCGTTGCTCGCAGGACGGCCTGTCGTGGCGTTGGAATCGACCATCATCTGCCACGGTACGCTGCGGTTCAGCGCGGTTTAGTGCAGTGCAGCGTGCTGAAAGCTCATCACGCCACTACCATCCGCCATGCCCTGCGGTCCGTGGAACCTGCTGGTAGCACAAGGCGTGGAAGGGTGGGGTTTCATCTCTGTATGATGAATTATGATGGATTTTTATGGATCATGATCAATTATGATGGAATATGATGGATTACGATGGATTATATGATGAATGATGATGAACTATGATGAATTATGCTGGATTATGATTCATTATGATGGATTATGATGAATTATGATGGATTATGATGGATTATGATGGATTGTGCTGAGTTCCGCCCGTGTGTTTCTTCTCCCCATCCTTCCCTCTTCGCTGGCGTGGCCCAACATACCTGTCCCCCGCCTCTCCTCCCCTCCCTCCCTCTCCTCCCCTCCCTCCCTCTCCTCCTCCTCCTCCCCCCCTCCCCCTCCCCCCCTCCCCCGTGTCCCCTTAAGGCATGCATTATCCACAGACTTTGCAGCTGTTGAGTGCGCACCTCAAAGCGCACCTCTTCCCCGCCCCACCCCTCCTCCCCTCCGCTCCACCCTCCCCCTGTGTCCCCCCCAAGGCATGCCTTATCCACAGAATTTGCGGGCAGCAGAGGGGGTGGAGGATATTATTCGGAAGGAGGGGGCTGTGCCGGCTACTATTGCTATCATTGACGGGCAACCATGCATAGGTGGGTTTTTGAGGCGCCTCAAAACAACCGTGCATAGTTAAGCCGAGATGTCTTTTGAGTTGTTTGAAGTGGGGCTGAGCTGAGACGCCATTAAAGTCTGTTCCTTAGCAGCAATCATGCGGTTTCTGGGGTTTCGCACAAACCCTTCCCCCTCCCATCTCCTCCCCTTCGCCTCGTGCAGATGTGACCGCCTCTCAGCTGCAGCAGGTGGCACGGGACGGCCATGCTGCTTCTGAGGTTCCCCCCTCCCCCTTTCTCCACATCCCCGCCCCACCACCTTCTCTTTCTCCTCCTCCTCGCCCCTTGCAGGTCTGACCACTTCTCAGCTGCAGCAGCTGGCACGAGACGGCCATGCTGCTGTGAAGACTGCGAGGAGGGACATGGCTCTGGTGGTGAGGCGAGATGTGGTGGTGAGGCGAGATATGGTGGTGAGAGACATGGGTGGGGTCTGGTGGTGAGAGACGAGATGGGTCGTGGTGAGGCTCGGATGGAGTGGTGGTTGTGGCAAGGCGAAGGTGCCGCTGGTTGAAACAAAGCAAGTTTCGCAACAGAAGAGCGCAAGGTTGATGGGCAACTTGCTTGGTTCGGCTTTCTGCAATCTGCTCCATCTCGTGACTCTTTCGTTGCGAAATCTGATTTGTTTTGTAACGTCATGCGCTCTTCTCAAGTGGATGTCAAAAGAACAATTTTGTCTACCCAGCACCCTCTACTCTACTATTTTTTCCCCTGCTCTCATACTTTGTTTACCCAGCAGTCTCTATTTTTTGTTTTCCCCTGCTTTCGTACTTTGTTATACAGCAGTCTCTACTCTCATACGCGCACTCCGCTTTCATTCACACTATCCGAAACCCGTTTCTCGTACGCACTCACATCTCTTGAGATACCTGTGTCTCTCTTTACATTGCAGGTGTCTCGAGGGCTCACAGGCGCCACCACTGTGTCTGCCACCATGCTACTAGCCCATAAGGTGGCGTACGAGATCATGTGTTAGGTGCTACATGGTTGTATGTGATGGGTGCTGGTGAGTGTATGTGATAGGTGCTATGCGTTTTGGTCCGTACTATTATGCTGTTTCGTCAAAAGTGTACTTGTCGCAATATGGTGTTGCGTCGTTCGCTCGTCGGCGAAGCAGAACGCCACTGCTCGCTGCTCACCTCAAACCACAGCAGAACGCCCCACTGCTCGCTGCCTGACCCCACTTGTTGCCTGGTCATGATAAATATTGAGGTGACTTTTGAGTCGACTCAAAAGTTGCCTGGTCATGATAAATAATCATGACCAGGCATGTTTTGGGCCACCGGCTTTAAATCGATGTGATAGGTGCTATTATATTGACTCATCCCCCGTATGGTGAACTTTTATTCCCCTCAAAAGGAGGTGGCATGCTTTATTAGGATGTGCCATGTGTAGTACATTGGAGTGTGATGAGATGTGTGCATCATCTTCGATGTGTGCATCATCCTCAATGTGTGCATCATCTTCGATGTGTGCTGAGAGGGGCCTAGTCACCCCCCCCCCTCTCCTCAGTAAGCTGAGAGGGGCCTAGTCACCCCCCCCCCTCTCGTCCCCCCTTCCCTGCAGGTGGGCATCTCTGTGTTCGTGACGGGCGGCATAGGCGGCGTGCACAGAGGGGGAGAGAGCAGTAAGCAAAGAATGAGGGTGGGTAAAGGGGGGGAGAGCAGATAACGGGAGCCGAGTGAGCAAAAGGGGGGGAACTAAGCTTGTAGCAGCAAGGGAAGAGAGGAGAGCCATATGGAAGGCGTGGGGAATGGGGTAAGTAGTGGGGGTTGACCAGAGACAAGAGTGCAGGGAGTTCTGAGCAGAGAGGGAGAGAAAAGCAGAGATGAAACGGATGTTTATAGCAGGAGGATGGAATAAGCAGAGTGAAGGATCTAGGAAAGGGAGGGAGAGAGGGATCCAGTTTTGGGAGTTAGAATTGGAGGAAGCAAAGGGTTAGGAAGGCGAATTTATTTTCTATGCTGAAGGTTCTATTTTTGAGGCGCCTCAAAAATAGACTCCTCACGCGAATTGATTTTCTATGCTGAAGGTTTGGGGAAGCGAGTCAATGTCAACCCGCTGGGTTTGTGGACACGTAGTAAGTGAAGTGAAAGTCAATCTGTAACTGTCTATCTGCTCAATAATTCCTGAGTTTGCAGGGTATTTTTGAGAATCCTCAATAGTTCCTTCCATCCATCCCCTTCCCTTGCGCTCCCATCACTGAAACGATTCCCTATCACACATACTGCTTCCTAAAAGCGAAAGTGTTGTGTGACATTGTAACGAGGTGACTTTTGAGTCGACTCAAAAGTCACCTATCACACATACTGCTTCCTAAAAAAAACCCCTCTGGTGGTGTGCGGTGGAGCTGGTACATCAGCTTGCCACTCTTCCCTCTACCCCTCTCTCCCTCTCCCCCTCTCCCTCTCTCCCTCTCTCCCTCTCCCCCTCTCTCCCTCTCCCCCTCTCCCCCTCTCCCCCTCTCTCCCTCTCCCCCTCTCCGCCTCTCCCGCTCTCCCCCTCTCCCCCTCTCCCCCTCTTCCCCTCCCCCCTCTCCCCCTCTTCCCCTCCCCCCCTCTTCCCCTCTGCTCTTTCCCCACACTCCAGCAATTGACACGTCCTCGGAAGTCACTGAGCTGGTGTTGGTCGCACGCCCGTGGCGGTGGTGGTGTTGGTGAGTTCTGCAGTTGATACTGCTGCCTGCCCCTCTTTCCTCTTCGACCTTCCCTCTTTTCACTCCAAGCAGCGATGGACATTTCCTCGGATCTAACAGAACTTGGTCGCACGCCAGTGGCAGTGGTGTGTGCTGGAGTGAAGTCGGTGCTCGACATACCGCGCACTCTAGAGTACCTGGTGAGGCTTGGCTGACTTGTGACAGTCTAAAAGACGGCACTTTCCTATCCCTCTCACCATGCATGCATCCCCTTTCCTTGCTTATAATGTGAACTAGGTATCCTCCAAGAAAAACAATCCCCTTTCCTTGCCACTAAGAGTCTCGTCTCTCCCTCTCCTGGCTCTCACTCACTCGTCCACATCTCCTCCCCATGCACTCCTAGACCACACACACACAGGGAGACGCAAGGAGTGAGAGTGTTGGTGTTTCCATGATCACATGGATCGAAGGAGTTTCCATGTCGTTTCACACGAGTGAGATCTCACCGATCTGCTTTTGAGTCGACTCAAAAGCATGTCGTTTCACACGAGTGAGATCTCACCGATCTGCTTTTGAGTCGACTCAAAAGCATGTCGTTTCACACGAGTGAGATCTCACCGATCTGCTTTTGAGTCGACTCTAAAGCATGCCGTTTCACACGAGTGAGATCTCACCGATCTGCTTTTGAGTCGACTCTAAAGCATGTCGTTTCACACGAGTGAGATCTCAGCGATCTGCTTTTGAGTCGACTCAAAAGCATGTCGTTTCACACGTGTGAGATCTCACCGATCTGCTTTTGAGTCGCCTCAAAAGCATGTCGTTTGACATAAGTGAGATCTCACGGATATTCACTTATCGGAGGAGCATCTGCAGGCTGAGATCCATGGGATCTCACTTACATGAGACTCAAGGCGTGACAGTGGTGGCGTGTGGATCTAAGGAGCTCCCATCGCTTTCTGTCCCCCTCTGCCCCGTCCTTACCCCCCCCTCCCCCCCCCCCGGTACACTGTAGCAGATGAGACGCAATTGAGTCGATTCAATAGTACACTGTAGCAGATGAGGCGCAATTGAGTCGACTCAGTAGTACACTGTAGCAGAGGAGACGCAATTGAGTCGGCTCAATAATACACTGTAGCAGTTGAGACGCAATTGAGTCGACTCAATAGTACACTGTAGCAGATGAGACGCAATTGAGTCGACTCAATAGTACACTGTAGGAGATGAGACGCAATTGAGTCGACTCAATAGTACACTGTAGCATATGAGACGCAATTGAGTCGACTCAATAGTACACTGTAGCAGATGAAACGCAATTGAGTCGACTCAATAGTACACTGTAGGAGACGAGAAACAAGGAGTGAGGGAGGTGGCGTATGGGGCCAAAGATTTCCTCCCCCACTCTCCCCACTCTCCCCACTCTCCCCACTCTCCCCGCTCTCCCCACTCTCTACCCACAGAGGCCAAACAGCACCCCGTATGCCAAAGGGTTCCTCCTCCGCTCGCCCCACTCTATTCCCACCTCGGCACTGCAACCCCCAAGCCCTCTCAACTTCCTTTGCCACACTTACACAGGAGACGCAGGGAGTGACAGTGGTGGTGTACGGTTCCAAGGACTTCCCAGCGTTCTTCACTACCACATCTGGCTGCCCTGTAAGTTCCGCTCTCTGTCGGCTCATTTGCCTGCCTGACTTATTCTGAGACGTATTGAAACTCATTTCGCCTGCCTATGACTTGTTTTGAGACACCTCTAACACAAAATTTACCTGTGCACGACATTTGAGGCTCCCCTCTTAAAAAAACAGCAAGGCCTATGAGCTTTCCAGGCTATTCTCCCAAGTCGGCCCCGTTTCTTCCCCAATCACACGATCTCGTCATCCCAGCCTCCTTACCTGCCTCCCTTGGCCACTCTAACCCCGTCTCTTCCCTCGCTCACAATGCTATTTTTGAGGCGCCTCACTCTTCCCTCACTCACAATGCTATTTCTGAGGCGCCTCACTCTTCCCTCGCTCACAATGCTATTTTTGAGGCGCCTCACTCTTCCCTCGCTCACAATGCTATTTTTGAGGCGCCTCACTCTTCCCTCACTCACAATGCAGGCACCCGCCACACTCAGCGACCCTGCCAGCTGTGCTGCTCTCATTGGTGCGCACTTTCCCTGTCTCTCTTATACTTGGCTTCCCTCCTTTTCTTACTTCCCTCCATTTAACGGTTTCCTCCCCTCCCTCCCACTCCAGTCCCTTCACTCCAGTCCCTTCAATCTTCCTGGCCCTTCACTCCAGTCCCTTCAATCCTCCTGGCCCTTCACTCCTGTCCCTTCAATCCTCCTGGCCCTTCACTCCTGTCCCTTCAATCCTCCTGGCCCTTCACTCCTGTCCCTTCAATCCTCCTGGCCCTTCACTCCTGTCCCTTCAATCCTCCTGGCCCTTCACTCCTGTCCCTTCAATCCTCCTGGCCCTTCACTCCTGTCCCTTCAATCCTCCTGGCCCTTCACTCCTGTCCCTTCAATCCTCCTGGCCCTTCACTCCTGTCCCTTCAATCCTCCTGGCCCTTCACTCCTGTCCCTTCAATCCTCCTGGCCCTTCACTCCTGTCCCTTCAATCCTCCTGGCCCTTCACTCCTGTCCCTTCAATCCTCCTGGCCCTTCACTCCTGTCCCTTCAATCCTCCTGGCCCTTCACTCCTGTCCCTTCAATCCTCCTGGCCCTTCACTCCTGTCCCTTCAATCCTCCTGGCCCTTCACTCCTGTCCCTTCAATCCTCCTGGCCCTTCACTCCTGTCCCTTCAATCCTCCTGGCCCTTCACTCCTGTCCCTTCAATCCTCCTGGCCCTTCACTCCTGTCCCTTTCTCATCGTGTTCTCCGTTCACTGGTTCATGTCTCCCAACCAGCATACTACCAGTCTTAACTAGTGCCTTTCCACTTGTTGTGACTTACCCTTTTTGCACTTGTTGTGACTTGCCCTTTTTGCACTTGTTGTGACTTACCCTTTTTGCACTTGTTGTGACTTGCCCTTTTTGCACTTGTTGTGACTTACCCTTTTTGCACTTGTTGTGACTTTGACTTACCCTTTTTGCACTTGTTGTGACTTACCCTTTTTGCACTTGTTGTGACTTACCCTTTTTGCACTTGTTGTGACTTACCTTTTTCTCCTCCTGTGTGCATTCCTGCCACCCTTCGCTTCAGCTCCCAGTGCCCTCTGCCCTCTTCTCTGATACCACCTTCCCATTTTTTCCTGATTTTCTTCACATCCCCTCCAGATGCCAACCATTGCCTGCAGTTCACTAGGAGCATGGTTATTGCAATGCACATCAACCCCCCTCTGCCCTTTGCTCTCCTCTCCCTCCCTCACACTCTACACACCCCCCACAGTCCCTTACACCCGCCACACTCCCTTACACTCCCCGCACTCCCTTACACTCCCCGCACTCCCTTACACTCCCCGCACTCCCTTACACTCCCCGCACTCCCTTACACTCCCGGCACTCCCTTACACCCCCTACACCCCCTCACACTCCTCACACTCCTCACACTCCTCACACTCCTCACACTCCTTGCAGACGCCAACCACCGCTTGCAGCTGAGCAGCGGCTTGGCGATTGCAGTGCCGTTGCCTAAAGAGCAAGCAGTAGAGGCAGAGGTTCCCTCTAGAGGCTTCTTTTGAGTCGACACAAAAGCTTTTCAGTCAAAAAGCAGGCTTTTGAGTCGACTCAAAAGCAGCGGCATGGTAATTGCAGTGCCGTTGCCTAAAGAGGAAGCAGCAGAGGCAGAGGTTCCCTCTAGAGGCAAACATCCCTCGTACTATTTCTCCTCTCTCCCTCTCCAGACGCCAACCACCGCTTGCAGCTCAACAGCGGCATGGTGATTGCAGTGCCGGTACCGGCACAGCAGGCAGCAAAAGCAGCGCAAGTGGAGGCAGCAACGCAGCAGGCACTCAGAGAAGCAGAGTGAGTGACATTTCCACTAGCGAATCTCTCGGTTAAGTACGTTTTGTCTCTTTGTCTTGAATGGGCCGCATTGCAGCAGCAGTGCAAGTGGAGACAGCAACGCAGCAGGCACTCAGGGAAGCAGAGTCAACAGAAGTCGTAGATGGATTGCAGGTGGGCGGCGGAGGCCTTATTTCCATCAAGTCTGTAGGTTAGTACAACAAAACGAACCCCATAGGCGAGATTGCGTTTAGGAAAGAGTTTAGAGGAGCCGGGTTAGAAAAAAAGCTTGCGTCGAGTTTATGCAGCCAGCTTGAGAGTAGGAGACAGTAGCGCAGTAGCAGTGCAAGTGGAGACAGCAACGCAGCAGGCACTCAGAGAAGCAGAGTGAAGAGATCAACAAGCTAGATGGGTCGGGTGCAACAGATGGAGGTGCTCTGTGTGGATGGCAAGGTTGCGAGAGTTTATTATATGGCGTCCACCACTATAACAGAAGCTGTGAAGGTAGGCATGAATGCACTGGTTGCAAGGTGCTTTTGTTTCTTTCTGTCCCTTCCTTTTCCCTCCTCCTTTCTTTCCCTGTCTCTCGGTTGCCCACTCTCCCTCTCCTCCCTGTGTCTTTCTTGCTGCATTCTGCAGTGTGCAGGCCATCAAGGGAGCACAGATCACACCATTCGTCCTCAAGCGAATAAAGGAGCTCACTGGAGGGGCGTCACTCGCTGCAAGTATGCTGTGGTCACATCTTGGCCTTCTGATTCATCCTCCCGTCTGTTTCCCTGTCATCATCTCTTGGTATTCTCTTCAGCATGTTTAATTTAAATCGTCAGCGAACCCGCTGCGTCCAGTCACCCTCTGTTAATTTCGTTAACCAACTCATCCATATTTTCTACTCTTAAACACTTCCATCCCCCCTCCCCCCCACCCCCCCCTTCATTCCCGCCTCCAACATTTCCCATCCAGACATAGCTCTAGTGAAGAATAACGCTCGTGTGGGTGCCCAAATAGCCAGGGCTCTCGCACAGAGGAGAACGACCAGCGTTTCGAGACTTTAGATGCCTTGGTCACATCACATCTGCGAAGCTCGCGACAAAGACAAGCGAAGTTCATGGTCTTGTTACGGTATGCTCAGTACAGAATATGACTGACAAGTCTTTGTAGAAATGTTATCTGTATTAGTTACACACCCAGAAAGTTGCACTATCTAGGGTGACATGTACTTGAAATTTCTAGAAGTTAGTCCTTTCTTTTAGGAGTGGGTCACATTTTTTATTCATCGTAACACTAGCAAGCTGGTTTTGGACTGTGGTGTGAATCTCGAGGGCGTGCTTTATCGGGTTACGCTAAACAAAAATGCAACTGGTTACGGTTTTGACGTTCAGATTTCTGTCCGGAGAGGGATCGTCCGCGATTCATGCGAAAAAATCGTAACCACTCCGGGTTGCGTAGCTTGGCAGGTTGCAGAACTCTACGCACCACGCCCTACAGCGGAGCGGAAGAGCCCAGCTCCAGTACCGACCTGAAAAACAAGAGATGGCTGGGTAATGAAGAATACTGTACTGAGAGAGCTCGGCAATCCCAAGGCTAGGTGCTATTGCGAACTACCGTTCGCACATGCCTGGTCATGCGATGAAGCAGAGAGTCTGATTTGGCCTCGATTGCGTGGCTTCTTGACTTGCGCAACCCGCATCAGCATGGCGACAGCCTTGCGTGCGACGCGACTTGCCGGACCGCTCAGACTCAGCAGCCGCTCATTCCGCTTGCGGAGCGGCTCAGGTAGTGCGTGCCAGCGTGATTTAGTCCACGTCAGCGCACTTCCACAGGCCCGTTTAGAAACCTCATATTGCCACGTCGTCCATGCGAATCCCGCTGATAGATTACACCAAAACCTCGCACTTAATCGACCGAGTAGATTAGAAACCTACGGCTCCTCCTTCAGGGGTAACGGGGTCAAATGGAGCAGCAGCAGCGCCAGCAGCAGCAGCAGCGGCCGGGGAGCGAGCCACACAGGAGGGGGGAGTGCTCGAATCGGCAGCCGGCGATTAGACGGCGGCGTGAAGCGAGCGAGTGGAGTCGGACCGGTCACGACGGCGGCTCAACCGGGCGAAGAACTCATGCACCGTACGCGACCGGCTGCTAGCGCGGATAACGCGTTTGAGTCGAGTTTTAGACGAAGTGATTCTGACGCACCTCCCCATCAGCTTTCCCGCACTCTCTCCCCCCTCCCCTTCCTCTCCCCCCTATCTCCACTCCCCCCTCCCCTTCCTCTCCCCCCTATCTCCACTCCCCCCTCTCCTTCCTCGCCCCCTGCCTCCCGTTCTCCCACTGCATCCCCCTCCATTTCCCTCAACTCCCTCTTCTCCCCCGTTTCCTCAGAGTTTAACGAGATTCGAAGGGATGCAGAGGCGGTCAAGGAGCAACTAGCAGCCAGCGAGCGGCTTTTCCTGAGCCAATTCCCCAAACATCTCTCCCCACCTCCCTCTCCTTGAATTGATCGCTTCAGAGTTTTACGAGATTCGAAGGGATGCAGAGGCGGTCAAGGAGCAATTATCAAACATCACAGCCACTGCTGACCTGCCACGTCAGCGCGCAGCCATTGCTGACCTGGAGCGTGACGTGGCACGGGAGGATCTGTGGGAGGATCCAGCTCAGGCGCAGCAGCTGATGACGCAGCTGACCGAGCTCAAGGATGGGGTGAGGGAGGTGGAAGAGTTTGCGAATAAGGTATGTAGGCGGCTGAACTTGGTCAACGCAATGAACTTAAGTGGGGGTCTTACAATTACGTGGGATTATGAGCTTAATTGGGGTCCTGAACCCCATGCGAGATTATGAACTTATGTGGGAGTGAGAGCATAATTTATGTAGAAATATGATTGTATGTATGTGGGATTGACCGAAGGAGGGGGAAGATCGGCTTGTCCTCTGTTTGACTACCATTTTTTTTTTTTTTTTTTTTTTTTCGTTCTTTTGTAAACACACTCGCCAATCCTTCCCTAAACCCCCACACAGGCGGCAGATGTGTGTCTTATAGTGAAGCTGCTAGAAACGGATCAGGCATCGAAATCTTTGTTATGCCCGTACTTATATACTCACTACAGGTGGAGGAGGTGTGTCTAATAGTGGAGCTGCTAGAAGCGGAGCAGACGCCAGATGCATCGCTGGTAGCAGAGGCAAGGGAGGGGCTGCAGTGGGTGCGGGGGCACATGGAGCGGTACGCTGTGGCGCAGCTGTTGGGGGGAAGGTTCGACAAGAAGGGAGCCAGGCTGACAATAACAGCGGGGGCAGGAGGGACGGATGCCCAGGTGAGAATGGCTGAGGTATGGGTACGTTCGACAAGAAGGGGGCGAGGCTCGCAATCACTGCTGGGGCTGGAGGGACGGATGCTCAGGTGAGACTGCCAGAGGGAGGGGCGAGATGCATAGGCCACTGGGCCTGCAGTGGGTGCGGGGCCACATGGAGCGGTATGCTGTGGCACAGCTGCTGGGAGGGAGGTTCGACAAGAAAGGGGCGAGACTCACAATAACTGCAGCAGCAGGAGGGACGAATGCTCAGGTGAGACTACCAGAGAGTAGGGTGAGTGAGCCGTATTGACTACTGGGCTTGCAGTGGTTGAGCGTGAAAATGGAGGAGTATGGAGCGGTATTCTGTGGCGCAGTTGCTGGGAGGGAGGTTCGACAAAAAAGGAGCCAGGCTAACGATTACCACAGGGGCTGGAGGGACGGATGCGCAGGTGAGATGTGAGGGGCTCAGGTGAAATGCGTGGGGTGGGGGCAGAGGCAAGGGAGGGCAAGCAGTGGGAGCGCGGGGGCACATGAAGCAGTATGCTGAGGTCATGCTGCTACGCTATGCATGTACATGCTGCTATTTGCATGCTGCTATGCTATGCATGTACATGCTGCTATGTATGCATGCACATGGTGCTGTGCATGCTGCTATGCTATGCATGTACATGCTGCGGTGGGCTGACATGTGGGGCTTTAAGAAGAGCTCTGCATATGCACCGCAGCATGCACATGCAGGGCCTTTCCATGTGCGTCTGTGTTTCCACCCTTACTGGATTGGGCTGACATGCTGCTCCGGATGTACATGCGGTGGGCGGACAGGAGGGGCTTTAAGAAGTGGTTGAATGTGCCTTTAATTGTCTTTTCTTGCGGGTTTGTATGTCACCACCTCACAGTATTGGGCTGACATGCTCCTGAGAATGTACATGCGTTGGGCCGACAGGAGGGGCTTTTAGCAGACTTTCTGTAGGCACTCAAAACACCCCCCCTGTGTGGCTTTAACCACCTCTCAGGATTGGGCTGACATGCTGCTCCGGATGTACATGCGGTGGGCTGACAGGAGGGGCTTTAAGAAGCGGGTGGTTGAGCGGTCAGATGGGGAGGAGGCGGGGATCAAGAGTGCGACACTTGAAGTGGAGGGGCGGTATGCTTACGGGTACCTCAGTGGGGAGAAGGGCACGCACAGACTGGTCAGGCAGTCGCCGTTCAATGCAAAGGGACTCCGACAGGTGTGTTGCCTGCCTGTTGGCCTGTGTGTTGGCCTGTGTGTTGGCCTGTGCGCACGTGTATGAAAGTACCCCTGTGTGCTGCCTGTTGGCCTGTGTGTATCTGTTTCCTGCCCAAGATGGCGATAGGTCACGGCTTGTGGAGCTGTGTTATGAGCCAATCATCTTCGGCGCCACAAAACACAGTGACAATAGGTCATTGGCGGTACCACATCTCCTTTTGAGTCGACTCAAAAGCATTGGCGGTACCACATCTCTCCAGCTTTTCCGGCTCTTTCCATCTCCCTGCTTTCCCTGTTCCGTGCCAACCATCCCTAGCCTGTCCTTCTGTCCCCTGCTCTGTGCAGTACTGGCCTCTCTGCACAGTGCTTCTCCTCGCTCTCCATTCCTCTCCTATCCCCCCTCCCTCCATACCCTCGATTCTACCCCTGCCGTTCCACCCCGCACCCCTCGGGCCAATTTGTCGGCCTAGAGGTGATACTGTTGCTAGAGGAGATTCCCGAGGATGACCTTCAGGCGTGACTACAATGAGGGCAGGGTGACTACAAGGAGATTTCCGAGGATGAGGGCTGCAACACCTCTCCTCCCTCCCTCGATCGCATCCCTCCCTCGATCACATCCCTCCCTCCATCCCCTTCCTCTATTCTCCCCTCAGACCAGTTTTGCGGGCGTAGAGGTGATGCCATTGCTAGAGGAAGAGGCAATCAAGGTGGAGATCCCTGAGGATGACCTGGACGTGTCTACGATGAGAGCGGGCGGCAAGGGCGGGCAGAATGTGAACAAGGTGGAGACGGCAGTGCGGATGACGCACATACCCACGGGGATAGCTGTCAAATGCGCAGGTGAGTGTGGGGCGATTAGTGTACGAGGTGACTTTTGAGTCGACTCAAAAGTCATTAGTGTACGAGGGACAAGGCGTAGTGCAAGTGCTGGCACAAGGTGGCAACCAAGGGCGGGCAGAATGTGAACAAGGTGGAGACTGCAGTGAGGATTGTGCACAATGCACATACTCACGGGGGGGGTGCTATCAAGTGTGCAGGTGAGTGAAGGAAGTGAGGGTGCAATTGCATGATGCACATACCCACCAGGATTGCACTCAAATGCGCGGGTCTGTGAAACAGTTTTGGTGATAATGCAACCATACGGTGCACCTGCCAACAGAAGTTGCTGTGATTCCCACTGCACCCATCATCCCATTAGTCCCACACTTCAATCCCAGCCAATTCTTCTCCTAACCCATGTCCCCTCCCCTTCCCTCCCCCCCTCCCTCAAACTTTTTCAGAGGAGCGATCACAGGCACAGAACAAGGCAAAGGCACTAGCGATGCTCAAAGCAAAGCTATTGATTATCCTGGAGGAGCAAAGGGCAGCGGAGATTAGGGAGATTCGGGGGGATATTGTGAAAGCGGAGTGGGGGCAGCAGATTAGGAACTACGTGCTTCATCCATATAAGATGGTAAAGGATCTGAGGACGGATTATGAGACAAGTGATGTCGGTGGCGTGTTGGATGGCGATTTGGATGAGTTTATGGGAGCGTTTTTGCGGTCCAAGCAACAGAAGCTGCAGCAGGAGGAGCAAGACCAGCAACAGCAGCAGCATCTGGTATGAGAGATGCTGATGTTGCTGCTTTGTGATGGAGCATGGTGGGTCGGATCGGGAAGGGTGACGTTTCATGAGTGCACGGGGTTTTGTTCCAAGTCACCAATTATCTGGATGTCATTATTTTTTTTGTATGGGAGAAATCAGGCGTTTGTACTATGATGAGTAACGTCTGTTTTGGGGGATAGCATGTTCACTCTTTGATCAATACTGTACCTTGGCCACAGTTCCAGGATCTTATGTCACATCCGTCACTGTAGACACGAATTGCGTCGAATGTCGGAGCTTCATCGCTTGTCACAGGCTGACACAAGCTGACTGGAAAAGGGAATCTTTTGATGTCGTCCACGTCAGGCGTTCCCAAAGTGGTCCCACCTACCACTGCTGGAGGCTGTGACAAAAATATCGTGACAGCACTCGACGTCCCACGTGGACCAGGTCAAACCCAGCACGCGCTGATGCTGGATCCTGAGGGCAGGCGCGCTGGGTTTCACGGCTGGCAGAGATGTTGAGGATCTCTCCAATCAAAGGCCCGCCGTTTCCACCGTTGGCGAACAAAGCACGATGTGGCGCCACAAATGTGGCTCGGTTGGAACACGCTGGGCACTGCAGCCTCATGAATCGTGATCAGCAGCAGCACTATGGCTCATGTATGCGAGTCACACAAATCCATGCGCCCGTGGGGCGGAAATTCCAGTGGTCCCTCCCTCTTCCCCACACGCGCTAGCTCGACTCCCCCCCAGCCCCGAAGTCCGGCCTCAAGGGGAATGCGCCTCGTCATTCCGACAGCCCATAGAGTTCTGTACAATCATGTTCATGGGGCGAGGGGACTGTCGTGATGTCATCGTCGTTCGGGATAGCAAATTCGTTTCGCGAATACTGATGGTTTTTCGCCGCGATCACGAGGCACGATTCACGACGAATGTCTATCGTCATGACCATCGCATGTATCATGGTTTTTGGCGGCCTCTGTCATCCCCTCAAATTCCCTCTCGTTTACACCACCAATCTACGATCGTCGTTTGCCTGAATGCTGCTGAAACCATTGTAGTCAACCGTCAGCTTCACACCGACGGCGTCAGGTCAGGTTCCCCCCATCTCGAAATTGACGTGCCGTCAAACGGTTCACTTCCTCATCAAGCTTGCACTTGACCTGGCCCAAGCCCAGATTCCTTCCCCCTACCAGCGTGACTCCTCCCCACCGCAGAGTCACCGACCGACCACCTTCACCTCCGCTTTTTTCCTCCACCATAGCAGCGTTTCCCCTCCCCCGCTTCCTTCCCCGCTTTCGCCACCTTCCCCCTCCCCTTCCTCGTCAACCCCCTCTTCCTCCGCTTTCACTGTCCCTCCCAATCAGCTGGCTCAGCCGGAGCTGATTCACCATCAGCCTCCTTGCTTGGGGTCGCTCTGACAACAAGCACCCTCAGCTCTTCCTGCCTTGGTTCTGTGAACACAGCTTCGATAATACCTCGCAGTTCCCAGGTCACTCTATCCCGACTGTGTTACCTCCTCAAACCCTCTGCCTTGGTCTCTGCTAAGGCTGAGACCCTCGCAGTCGCCCGTCGTCAATGCGACCCATGGTTACAGCCGCTGAAGCTCGTACACCATACATTGACACCAGTATCCGTTGGCCATGGTGATCTAACTAATCCCGGTCAATTCGGAAGCATCTGTGGGACACGAAGTCGAGGTTGCACGAGGAGAGTGGTGATCTGCATGGAGAGTACCAGGAACCGTTCGTCCTTTTCGGTCCATTCCGGCACTTCGTACTGGATGGTGAAATCTTCATCGCAGGAGTGGCGTCATTAACGGTGGCGGCGGTTCTTGACCCCCTTCCCTTTCTGATCGAAGCATCTGAACGACATGAATTCAGCAAGGCGTAGCAAGCGGATCTCCGATCCCGTCGAAGCATCGGTGGTTGAGCGCTTCTTTGCACACAAGGCTGTGGTCAAGCCAACAATGGCTCAGGAAGCTTCAGGGAAGGCCCCTCCCGCTGCTGCTCAGCAGCGTCGGCGTGTCAGTAAGCCTGTGGTTAATAACGCTGTGCTTCCTGTGGTTGCTGGTCTGACGCACCCTGGTGCAGATGCCAGAGGTTCATCCACGACTGTTGCCAAGGATCCGGAGCTGGACCTTGAATATCCTGAAGCGTCAGTTCAGGAGACCGGGAAACCCGCTCAAGAATCGCATGATCAGACGAAGACTGCACGATCCATGTCTCGCGATTTCGACGAAGAAGAGGAATGGGCTGAACTTGCCATGACCGTCAAGCTGGTAAGCCTGCATGTAATTTCGTTTCCTGTGGTTGCTGGTCTTCGGTACCAATTGTAGATGTTCTGAATGGTAATTGCACAAAATCTAATCCTGTCTCTCATGTTTCGTGCATGCAGTGCCTTGCGACTGCCGCTCCCTCGGAGAAACAGCTGGAAGAGCACGTGACGCTGGTGATGGGATCCGCGAATTCCGGAGTTGAATCCGTTTCTACTGCTTCTGCTGCTTCTGAAGGCGTACTCACAGGAGCTTGTACGAGCAGCCTGTCTCCTACTTATTCCTCTCCTGCATGTTCTTCGCCGTCGACTTCGCCTCCGCGTGACGCGACTGCTGCCGACCGCATGAAAGTCGCTGCCTGCCTGGCAGCCTCTCGTCGTCATGACGTGATGCTGTGTCATGCTGCCTGGCCAACCACTCACGAGGCTCCATCGGGAGAGTACGACTTCCTGGAAATTTCCATGGCGTCAAGTGCGACGGGGTTAGGATCTGGAGGTTGGTCTCCCACGTCAGTTCTGGACGGTTCTCCGTTCAAGCCATCCAACTGGCATAGCAGGAAGCCAGAGGGAGCTATTAATTCCATCAGTAGTCGGGCACGTCAGCAGGAGACCGAGCAGCAGAACGCGCAGCAGTCGACTGTACAGTGGACAGCGCTTTCCACGCAGCTCCCTGCTCAACCGTGTCTCCTGTTGCCAACTCAGCGTGTGGTTGTGGATGTGGCCTTCAGGCAGCAGTTCGAAGTGGCTCGCCCGACCCCTCGCTATGCTGAACTGCTCTCTCAGCTTCCCTCCGTGTTCGTCGGCGGAAGGCAGCGGCTCAAACCCCTCGTCACCGCCCTAGCTACTGCCATGAACCTCTCACTGCAGAGCAGCGGGATCTCTATTGCTCCCTGGCGCCGTACGAAGTACCTCTTGAGTAAGTGGTTCCCAACAACTGATGCTGGGACTGCTATTCCCGAGGCTCGCACCCAAGTTCTGCCACCACAGATGGCGACGGGCGAAATACCTACCTCCGTCCCACCTCTTATGCCAGTCGCGTCTACCAACCTGCCAGTCGCAACGACTGCCGAGCTGGTTGCTGCTGCGACCATGAAAGCTGCTGACGCTTTACCTTCCAACAACTGTGAAAAGGGATCTACCAGAGCTGGGAGCACTAAGGTTCCTCGTGCAGTAACAGACAGCCTTGCAGAGATTTCTCAGCTGCAGCTGCTGGCAAGCAAGGAGGTACTCAGGTGCTGCCACAACCACAATCTGCCACACCAGCAAATTGCTTATGGCGCTGCGGCTGTGGCTGGCGCTGGTGGTGCTGTCACAGGGTTTGCTGTTGATGACTGGAAGCCTCCTGCAGTGACTGCCAAGCGTCGTCCTGCTTGCAGGGAGGGCTGCCTGTCCCTCCGCCTGCGGTTGCAGGAGAGGGAGGAGAGGGAGGTGTATTGAGCGTGCTTTCTTCCAGGCAGCATTCCCCCCTTGTTCTCAGGTCGCTGCTGCTGTGTTTAGTTGCTTGCTACAGGCGAAATCTAACCTACAGTTGCTGCGCTTGAGCCATGCCTACCAGCCGATAGATGTTGGATGGTGGCCGATTTTGTTTGCTTGACTAGGTTGACTTCGTGTGCTTGCTATCTTCAGGTGCTTCTTTGTAATTATGTGCTTGTGCTAATGGTAAATACAGAACAGAGTCTTGAGCCAAATGTATTCCTGTATGACAAGATGTCAGCCAACAGTTCAAAGGATAGAAGGGAGGATAAAGAGCCTTGTCAGATTCGTGTTGGGCCTTCACCCATCTTCCCGCCTCCCCCTCCTTCAGTCATCCATCCCGAGCCCAATCCCCCGCACGCACCCACTTGTGCAGAGCAATGGAACCACAGAAGCCGTATACTGCATGTGCTTGATTACAAGACGCTATCAGTAGGGAACAATGAATCAGAGCTAGAATTGGAATACTAAAGCTGGCACTGACCAGCACCATACAGATTCCTCAACCAACCACACTCCTGCAGCACCACACCACGCACACCTCTGCAGCACCGCGCACATCCCTGCAGCACCATCCACACCCCTGCAGCACCGCACACAACCCTGTGGTACCATCCACACTCCTGTAGCAGATCCATTGCCATCGTCATTCTCCAACAAACCACGCTCCGTCTCACCACTTTCCTCCACCTCTCCCATCCCTCCCCACAACACCCTGCAAGCAGGGTGGAAGTACTGCCGGCCATTTCCCTCCCGCTAGACCCCACCACCAGGCATGCCCATCCTACAACCTTGGCTTTAAGCCTTCCTCCAACACCACATTTCAGCATTGGATCTGTGTACTAAGGGCCTTGCTCATGCTGCTGCCACCCTGTTTCTTGCCCTAGGGATTCCACTTGCTGCCGCTGCCGGCCTTGCTGCTGCTGGTGTTGCTGCTGGCCTTGCTGCCTCGGCCCCTGGTGCAGCTGCTGCTGGCCTTGCCAGGGCGGGCTTGGGAATGTGAGATGAACCTTGGCCGCTGGAGCCCTTCACTGCTGCACCCCTGGAAGCACCTGCTGGCTTCACAGCAGCACCTGCAGGCTTCACGGTTGCAGGCCTTGCAGGTGCGACCTTAGCTGGGGTCACCTTCGCTGACACATGTACAGCCTTAGCAGGTACTGTCTTCGCAGGTATGGCCTTTGCAGGTACGGCCTTTGCAGGTACGGCTTTTGCAGGTACCGCCATTGTAGCAGCAGGTGTCACAGGTGCACTCTTCCCAGCCTTGGGCTTCCCACCACCACTTGCTCCCATCACCTTCCTCGGCCTCGGCTTCTTGCTCGCGGTTCTACTCACCCCAGTCACAGATCTTGGGCGCAGGGGGGAGAAGCCTAGCGAGCCACGAGAGGAGCGGCGTTGGCACTGCTCTTCCTCCTCATGGAAGCGACCCACTCGGTAAGCAACGGCTTGTCTCCAACGCTTCTCCTTCGCGCTCATGCCACTGCTTGCACCGTTAGGACACCGCGAGCTGGCGCTGCCGCAGCTGCTGCTGCTGCAGCTTGCACTGCTGCTTTCGCTGGTGCTGATGATGCTGCTGGAGCTGCTATAGCTGCTGCTGCTGCTGCTGCTGCTGCTGCTGCTGCTGGGTGTCGGCGTGCTACATGCGACGTTGCTGGCAGCACTGAGCTCGGTCACAACAGGCTCACAGAAAGGAATACCTGGACCATACAGCCACGTCTGCTCCTCCTCCGAATAATCCTCCCAGGTCAGCTGGTCCTCCTCGCTGAAGGCCCTCCAGAACTCGTGCTCAATGGCGGACCGCAAGGAGTAGCTCTCTCTGGTGCGTACAGCCAGGTCTGGTCGGCCTCACTGTAGGCCTTCCACAACTCGCTCTCAATGGACGAGGAGCTCCCTGGCGCGTACAGCCACGTCTGATCCGCCTCTGAGAACTCCTCCCAGAATGCGTGGTCAATCGAAAGGCTTTCAGATCCGAGGCGAGAAGAGGCAATCCGAGAGGCCATGGTGCGAGCGGACGGATAGCCTAAGTACGAAGGGAGATTCGGGATGAGCTGAGAGGTGTGAACACGAAAGACTGGATTCGAGTAGCTTGGGTGGATAGAATGAGCGACGGATGTGGATTTGTAGGGAGGTGGGAGAGTCCCAAGGCGGAGGTGAGCGGTGGACGGAGCTTGGACGAACAGAGGGAGGAGCCAGGGAACAGCCAAGAGCGGCTCCATTTCGTGGTTGGAGCTGAAAATCCGGAGGGTTCAGTCAACCAATGGCATGCGGTATTGCTGCCCGGAATCCAGAGCTCTTTGCTTGGACGAAAACGTCGCTGCTGCCCAAAACACCACTGCGGCTCGTTCGTATGAATTTTAAAGTTCTCGGGCAGCAAAGCCGTGCAACATTCCTGCCCGGGCTGAATACACTTCGCAGTTCTGTCAACGTCGCCTCTCGCCGAGGATTTTAAGGCGATCCGTCTATGAAACGAATATCGAGGTCGACTGAATAAGGGGTCAAATGGGAGGACTATCCGTCCTGAGAGCAGCCAGAGATGGCCACGGAGGGAATCCATTCCGTCAACGCATAGCTGACAGATCAAAGATAAACTCGGCTTTGGGAGAACGGGACGTAATCGCGAATCGAATCTTGTTGTACCGTGACGCGGTGCTGTAACAACATACCAGTATCGTTCGCAAAGCCATAAGATGAGTTTGCCAGCACGGTAGAATTGGAGCCAGAAGCAAGCAAACATCGAGAAACTAGGGCTTCTATTCTCGAGACTGGTGGTGAGGAAACGATATCTGTGGAGGGACGACTCGAGAAAAGCAGATTCGACAACAGCAAGTTCGTTTGGGAAGCGTGACACTTCGTTTCAGTCATTATGCTAATAGCGCTGTATTGAAGAATTCATGTTGAAAATCCACACCCACATGTTAAGCACAAATTCAGACCATAATAAGATGTGGCAGAGGGGGAACATGACCACAATGTTTCACATAAATCTGGAGACGGGTATGCCACATAGTTTTAAGGAAGGATGGGCATCATAACTACAAGTTGCATGTGATCAAAGCTTCTCCAGGTCCTTGTGATGCCTTGACATTTGTTGCTCGCTTCACGTGGAACCCGTCTGCAATGTGGAAAGAACCAAAACAGCACTAGTAACAGTGCCATTCCTGAACCGTCAGTGCCAAGTACCATAAAAATCGCCCGTGGAGACCATCGGTGTGTTATCTTTTCTCAACTGTCATGTATTGGTAAGCGGAAAAACAAGAAGCCTCAGCACCACAAGCTATCCACCCCACTTCTGCTATTTTTTCTACCACCTACATCGCTCTTCAACATTCGGGCGACTCTTGCTTCTTCCCTTGCCTTTTTAGTATCCGTTGCTCAGAGCCAGGACACTCAAAGAATGAGGCATGGTTATTCGGGCATGAGAGTGCGGGCATGGTGATTTAGGCATAAGAGTGAGGCATGGTGATTCAAGCATGCGAGTGGGGCTTGGTAATTCCGGCATAAAGAATGTGTTAGAAATAGATTGCAAATCACACTTTTGTATTTGTACTTTTATATCCTAGTTTATGTTATGAATGTTCTTGTGGGTTGGGGTGTACTCACAAATCCCAACCTCAGCCAATTGTGATCCTCCCAATCTCCAATTACCCAATTGGAGATTCTGGAGATCCCAATAGGGATTCCCCCCGATTCCCCCTTCATCTATTCTCTCTCACCTTGCCATGTACTTATAGGGCCTTGGGCACCTTACCTAATCAATCCAACTCTATTTCTTATATGGTATCAGAGCGACCTATCCACACACGCAGATCAATGTCCTAATCTTAATGTGCCCGCGCTACGCGCACTTTATCGTCGCGACATTCGTCTCGAGTCGTCGGAATTTTCGATGTGCTCCACTCTACAGTCGCGCCTCTCATCGTCGACCGCCTTCGGACTCGACCTCGTTGAATTTCTCAACTCGAAAGCTTTCACGCTTCCCATAATCGATTTCCTCTTCGGTTCTCCTTGGTCGAATCTCAATTTCGACCATCTCTTAAAGCTCGTTTTCGAGTTTCCCCTCGGACCCCGCCAGAATAGGCGAACTCCCTTCGCGGAATCGCCTCCACGAGCGTCTCGCGTCAAGCAAGAGCAGGTACACAGGTGGAAGCGGAGCGGAGCTGGTTGCGGTTCTGTGTAGCTGCGGGACAGGGCCTGGGGATGTGTGGGGGGGTGTGTGGGTCCGAGGTTAGACATAGTCTCAGATTCAGTTTCAACTCGGCGTTTAACGAATTTCCGCCGACGGCATTTCCTTCTCAGCGGCATTTCAACGAAGCCGCCTGTGTGATTTTCAGCAATTCTCGTCGACCGATTTCCAGAATTGCCGCGATGCGCACCGAAGTTCCCATCGGTGACTTAAGAGCGTCGCTTCGCGAAAATCAAGCGCCAATGGCTTACTGAACCACTTCACTCGCCAACCCGATCCTGCTCCTTCGTCTCGAGCCGGACGGCACATGCTCCAACTACAAGGCTTGGCGCTATGGTGTCGACAAGCACAGCCCCTTCACGAGGTGAAGGGGCTCGAGCTCACCGACGTCCTTCTCAACATCGGTGACGGCAAAGAGCCTCCTAAACCCGAGAGGTCCATCGATCCAGCTAATGCCATCGCCGAAGCAGTTTATGCTGCTGCACTGTTCAAGTACAAGAATTGGGAAAAGGCCGATGGCGCGGTCATTGGTGTCTTCATGGGCACCACTCCTCCCAAACTCGCTGAAACCTACCACAACTACCCGTCTGCCAACGCCATTTGGCTCTACCTCGAAGACCGCTTCCTGAACAACACTGCACTGGTAGTTGCTATACTCATCCCCAGCATGTTCCAAGTGCGGCTCGAGGACTCGCCAGGCATGGCGGACTATGTCACCAAGGTGCAGTCCATTCATGGTAAACTCAAACAGTTGGGGATAGTCTTCCCCGAGCAAGCCCCTGCAGCCGCTCTCCTAGTCGGCTTCACTCCGGCATACGAAGTCACACGCAAGATGCTCTTGGGCCTTGCTCCTTCGGACCTCACATTTTCCAAGGTCTCATCCGCACTCCTTTCTGCTGAAAAGGACAATAGCGCTCAAGCCAAGGCCAATGCAATCCACGCTCCCGTGCCTCAGGCCTATGTCGCTTCGGCACCATTCCAGCGCAACTGCTTCCCCCCGTGTCCCTACGTCATCAAGCACGGCCCTCGTGCCGGCCAGGTGTGTGGCGGCACCAACCATGCCCTCGCCTCCTGCTTCAAGAAGAAGGATGACAAGTGGTATGCAGTCAATGGGACCGCCTCAAAGCCGCCAAGCTGGATAGTCAATCGTGCTCCTCGCAAGGTCAATCAAGTCGAAGCGCAGGAATCTGTGCAGGCTGCTGTAGCTCCCCCTGCTGATGTGCACCTCAACATGTTCTTCCCTAGCTTTGCCATGATTAATGAGACAATTTCGTAGTGTCCCAGCTCACAAAGCATCTCAGCCACAATAGAGTTCACCCTCGACAATGGGGCCACTCACACAGTTCTCAAGGAAGAACACTCTTTCAAGCCATACAAGACACCAATCCCTCTACTAGGAGCAGACTCCAGTTTCACAACACACACCAAGGGCTCCTCCACAGTTCCGTGCACAGCTTTCCCTTCGGGCAGTGTCATCGGCATGTGTGTTCCCACACTACGCCACAATCTCGTGGCCCAATACGAGCTCCAACGGGCAGGCATCACCACGATCTTCCCAGCACACTCGGACCACTGTGACCTCTTCAATCCTAAGTCCAACAAGCTCCTAGCACGCTTCACACTCAACAGCAGTAAGCTCTACATGCTGCGTTCACCTGCACCTCTCGCCGCCCTCTCCCAAGCGCAAGCTGCCAACACCACTTCGTGTTCCTATCGCAGCTTCGCCAACCCAACCATCCTCTACCACCATCGCTTGGGTCACCCCAACTTCCGTACGCTTGCGAACATCGCTTCCAAGAAACTTCTTCTTGGCCTCCCATCGACGTTTCCTCCACCAACAGACTCACATGCACCCACCTGCCTGGATTGCACCAAAAGCAAGCTCAAGCAGCAGCCGCACCCTTCCTCCCCATCCATCGCAGCTGCTCCGTTGGACCTAGTGCACATGGATGTCTGGGGCCCAGCTCCAGTCGCATCCCGAGGCGGTCATCGGTACTTTCTTACACGAGTCGATGACCACTTGCGGTATGTTTCTGTGCACCTTCTGCATACAAAGGCGGAGGCACCTGACCTCATCATGGCATGGGTGCGCCAGGCTCAAGTCACGTTCGGCACTCCTCTTGCCTCCATTCTGATGGTGGGGGAGAATTTCGCAATGGCCAACTCGATAACTTCTGTGCGGCCCAAGGGATTCGGCAAACATTCACGCTCCACGAAAGCCCGCAGCAGAACGGCATTGCAGAGAGCCGCGACCACATCTTGGTTCAGATCACTCGCTGCCTCCTCAGTCACGCCAACGCACCACGGTCACTCTGGGGATATGCCCTCTTCCATGCGGCTTTCCTCTACAACCTTTATCCGCATCCCCACCGACCCGACACCACACCTACCACTCTCTGGCTTGGGGCCACGCCTTCCGCCCGCTCTCTACGCGTCTGGGGGTGTAGCGCGTATGTGTTGCTCAACCTCTATACGAACAGGAAGCAAGGTGTCAAGCTTGGTCCCAAAATCCAGACCTGCATATACCTGGGGCACAACTCCGACTCCTCAGACTACTTATTCCTCAACCCTATCACAAGACAGCTGATTCGCAACTGTGATGTCGTCTTCGATAAGACACGCCCCTTCTACTCTGCGACCATGGGCGAGCCTCCTCCACCTCCCTCGAAACTTCGAGATCAAGTCCATGGATGTCTCCTCCGCCTTTCTCGAAGGCCAGCTCAAGGAGGATGTTCACATGGAACGCCCTTTGAGGTTTCCTGGCACTTACCCTGCCAACATAGTGTGGAAGCGGAAACGCCTAGTGTATGGCCTCAAGCATGCTCTTCGTGAGTGGCACAACAAGGTGAATGAAGTCCTCCTTACACTGGACTTCCATCTCTCCGCCTCATATTCTAGTCTCTTCATTCGTCACTCCTCCGAGCCCTTCTACATCCTTGTCTACGTCGACGACTTCATTCTAATCGCCAGAGATCCAGCCGAGATGGCAGCTGTCCAGTCTGCTCTCAGCTCTGCCCTTCTCATGAAGGATCTTGGTGACCTCAAGAACTACCTGGGGATGGAGATCACTCGTGACCGCCAGGCTTGCACGATCACCCTCTCCCAGGAGTCCTACATCGACAACCTTCTCAAGCGTTTCGATATGGACTCTAGTAACTCTGTCTCCACTCCACTCCCACTACAGCATCAGCTCACGGCCCCTCCGATTCCTTCTCCTGACGCCTGCAAGGACCCGTACCCTGAGCTAGTTGGTTCACTCATGTATGCTATGATGTGCACTCGACCAGACTTGGCGTACCCGGTTAGTGTCCTCTCTCGGTATGTCTCCCCCGGATGCTACACTGCCTCCTATTGGTCTGCAGCCAAGAGGGTCCTCCGCTATCTACAAGCCACCAAGTCTCACATCCTCACTCTCGGTGGTACCTCTCCAGTCAAGCTCGAGGGATACACAGACTCACAATGGGCCGATGACCAGACTGACAGACGCTCCTCCCAAGGGTACTGCTTCACCCTTGGTAGCGGAGTCATCAGCTGGCGCTCCACTCGGTCCTCTGCAGT